CTAGGCCGCCATGGGGCACGGCCAAGGGGTCATGGGGCATGTCTGGAAAGCAGCCCATGACATAACATACGGAGCCACGAATTGGACACCAAAACACATGAAAATTATAACGAAACTCAAGAATCGCTAATGATGCCAAATTTTGCAGACAAATCCCAAATAATAAAATGGACATATTTCAAGTCCTGAAACTAAAATCCAAATCTGATAGCCACAAAGTAACCTATGGTCGAACTTAGAAGATTTCTGAAATTTCAAATTGCCGCAATGCTTATAAATTACTGAATAAAAGAAAAGAAAGAGTACTAGAAACAACTTTTCAAAATAAAGACGATAATGGGATAATGTTCTCGACAAAACTACTAACACATCTTAACACATAGGGACGAGGGAACACCAAGGAAGCGGGGGTACTAATAATGCTTGCTGTTGCTAAAATGTCCCCTGACTTTGTCTCGTCAAAGCTTATTTCGCCTTCAAAGTTGAAGGCAACCTTTTCTAATTTGGGAAAAGAGTTGTTCAATTCCTTAAAAACCTTGTTAGTGTCATCGTATATCATATTTCTTTGTTGATTCATGCCTTGGGAGAAGACCCAATCCATAACCAGTTTTCCCCTTAATGCAGTTTGCATTATATTCAATCTCGTGAGACAGGTACTACGTTGTGGGCCTGGAAGTTTCTCAAACTTCTCCTTTATGAAATTGAAGTAGAAGTATGTGAGAGGTGATACAGTTGAATAAAGCATCCCATTGAGGAAAATACATCTCCTAGGCTTATTAAAGTTAAACGGCATATAGATTTTTCTCCAGGAATCGGTTCCTAGAGTCAGAATCCTACTTTTCAGTAGTTGATTATTGCTTTCCTCAAAAACATGAAGTAACTTGTATTTTCCCAGTACTATATCAAATCCCAGAAACAATTCAGGATCCGATGCCTGATTCAGGGAGAATGGCAAAGCTTTTATCTCTCTTGTAGTGACATTGAACAAATAAACTTGAGTATCTCTAAAGTTATATAAACAAACAACGCCATTGCAATGATTTGAGCAAATACGCAGGTAGGAATAATGACGAGGCATCGCGAGTTCTAAAGAAAATCTAGGCATCGGGAGATATGAAGTAAATTTAGGCCCCAAGATTACTCGTCTGTTCTTTGGTACAGGATACACATTAATATAATCACGACCTATTCCCAGTTCAAACAAAAGGTGGGTGGCAGAGGGGCGGACTTGAGAACGAGTATTGTGCAATTTGGCAAGGTTGGGATGTCCAATCAAAGTGTTCCAAGTTTTAGAAATACACTTGAATCGTATGAGAGACTTGGCAGGAAGCCATGTTAGGATCTCGAATACTATGTCCTCTGAACAATGCTTCTCCATAAGTACGTTGGTTTCTCACTAGGGATTTAGGGCAACTTTCCAATATTTGTACTGTTGGATTCCTAGTAAAGTTGTAGACAAACTAGGATTCTTTCCATTCTATACTAATACTAAGTTTTACTAATTCTTTTATATGGATCAAAACGTGGCAGACACGCTTTGAAAATCTCTGTCTAGGTTATAATGATAATGCATCAAGTTTTTTTGTTCTTTTCCTCTTCAAAAAAAAAAAAAAAAGGAATCAAAACAAGAGAAAACTGAGTTTCGTAATTTTGAGAATCAAATGGTTTTGAAATTCTGATTCTGTAATATTAGTTTGTGGATGTCTGTTCGTTAAATTTAGTAAATGAAAGTTTTTATTAAAAAAAAAAACTACTTACTCCCTCCGGTCCACAATAAGCGAAACTTTTTAGGGATATATATATATATATATATA